TATCATCACAGAAACCAATGATGAGTCAGCAATTACTAATTCTTTTGATTTAGATTATGAGTTAATTTATGGTGTTCCTGAAAGGGAAATAGATGCAGAAGTTCATACTGATGATAATCAGATTCCTGAAGCATCGAAACATTCTGATGGTTCGACATTAACTCAAGAAGATGCTGATTTAAATTCTACAACAAACTCTCCAATACATGTCGAATGTCACCCCGTGTTGCAAGTTGATCAAGTGGAGGGGGAGCACTTGAATTCGATATCAACAAATCATTTTAATGATTCTAATGTTGAGGGGGAGCATGGACATTTGAATGCTGATGTCGAGGGGGAGCATCACAATTCTAGTCCCATTGTCGAGGGGGAGCATCACACTTCTAATACAATTGTTGAGGGGGGGCAACATGGATTCATACCTAATGTTTCAAATGAACAATCTGATGTTTTTCATGAAGTGTCTGATAATATGTCCAATGCAGGAGAAGGTTCTAAAACGGATGATATGTTCGAAGATGCACCTTTGGATTCCGATCCTGCATATCCACCACCGAACAGATGGACAAGGAATCATCCTAAAGAATAAGTTCTTGGTGATCCTCAAGCTGGAGTTTTAACAAGAGCTCAGCTAGGTGCCAAAAATGAGGTATTGAATGTAAACCAAGAATTTTGTATGTTTAATGTCTTTATATTGAAAATGGAATCGAAAACAGTTAAGGTTGCATTGGATGATCCTGATTGGATTGTTGCAATGCAATCTGAATTAGCTGAATTCGAAAGAAATAAGGTTTGGCGTTTAGTTCCAAAACCTGATGATGTGTCAGTAATTGGATTAAAATGGATTTTTAAGAATAAAAACAGACAAAGAAGGTAATATTGTTCAAAACAAAGAAAAGTTGGTTGTTAAGGGATATTCACAACAAGAAGGTATTGACTATTATGAAAGCTTTTCCCCTGTCGCGAGACTCGAGGCTGTTCGAATATTTCTTGCTTATGCAGCACACAAGGACTTCGATGTCTATCAAATGGATGTCAAGTGCGCTTTTCTGAATGGCGTATTGGAAGAAACTGTGCATGTTGAGCAACCACTAGGTTTTGTAAATGATAAATTTCCTAATCATTGTTATATTCTCGATAAAGTTGTTTATGGATTAAAACAAGCACCATGAGCCTAGTATGCAACTCTTACCAATTTCTTAAACTCTCAAAATTTAAACAAGGATCAGTTAATCCCACTCTCTTTCGAAAGAAAGTTGGGGATCATCTCATGCTTGTTCAAATTTATGTAGATGATATTATTTTTGGCTCTATTGCTCCCTTGTTGTCTAATGAATCTGAGAATATGATGAAAAGATAGTTCGAGATGAGCATGATGGGTAAGATCAATAGTTTTCTGGGTTTGAATATTTGTCAAAGCAGGGATGGAATTTTCATAAATCAAGAGAAGTATTCTCGTAATCTGGTTGAGAAGTTTGGAATGACAAAATAGTTTGAAATTGCAAGTACCAATGGCTATCGGCACACGCTTAGGAACTTCATTGGACAAGCCTGTTGTCGATATTACGTTGTACAAGAGCATGATCGGTTCGTTACTATACTTAAATGCTAGTATACCTGACATTATGTTCGTTGTTTGCAATGGTGTTAGGTATCATTCGAATCCCAGGGAACCCCATCTAACAATTGTAAAGAATATTTTTCGATATCTCAAAGGGACAGTGTCGTTGGGCTTATGGTATCCTTTGAAGGCAGGTTTCTTCATTCAGGCGTTTTCCGATGCAGATCTTGGTGGGTGTCAACTCAACTGAAAAAGCACTAGTGGTAGATGTCAACTATTGGACGAGAAGCTTGTTAGTTGGCAATCTAAGAAACAAACATGTGTTTCTATTTCTACAGTAGAAGCAGAATACGTTGTTGTTACAACTTGCACTTCTCAAGTCATATGGATACAAATTCAACTTCGTGATTCTGCAATCAACATGAAAAAGATATCGTTGTATTGCGATTCCCAAAGTGCAATAAGCATCTGGCATAATCCGGTGCAACATTCGAAGACCAAGCATATAGAACTTCGCTATCATTTCATCAAGGATCATGTCGAGGATAGAAATATAGAGGTTCACTTATTAAAGACAACGGATCAACTTGCTGACATTTTTACATAGCCTTTGGATGAGAAATCTTTTCTAAGGGTCTTGTTTGGATTAGGAATGCTTGATGAAACTGTTGTTCCAAGCTTGTCTTCATCGTGAAAGAACGAGGAGTCCGAAACACCGCTGAAGGATTCAGAAGTTATTTTTCACTATTCAGCGTTCGACCCCCTTCATTTTTGACATATCACTGATTGATTCAGATCCTACTTCGTTCTCTGAGAAGACTTGTTGTTTCGAAGTACTATGTCTGGACGTCGATACTTTTCATTTCGAAAGTCTGGTAACATTTTATTGTTTTTAATATTGTTTTTATAAACCAAAAATACCAAAAAGATTTTATTTCTTTTGTCTTTAATTTTCAAAAACCTCAAACCTCCCAAAAATATTTTTTTCTTTTGTCTTCAAATTTCAAAAAACAAAAATTCCAAAAATATTTCTTATTTTTGTCTTTTACATTTCAAAAACAAAAATTCAAAAAAAAATTGTGTTGTTTTGTGTGTTTAACGATTTTCTGTGTAGTTCTCAATCGACATATTATGGTGTTTATTGCTATGTGACTATGGGACATGTATTATATCGAATATTTGCACTAGTTAGGTGTCCCTGGAAGCATGTTGTTGTATGTCGACCTAAGCCTCATAGACTCAATGTGTTTTGAAGCCTTAATGGATCACTCGCTATGAGAGATCCTTCCCAATAAGGCTATATTCGCATTAGTCGACGAGCTACATTTCTCTTCTCATTTTGATTTAAGAGATTTCTGCTATGTCCATATCATTCGCAGAGGTACACTATGGTTCTTAACCAATATTTTTCACCAATTTCGTTCTTCACGTTTCACACACTTCACTTGCATATCCTCGACATCTCTGGTAAACACCAACCAACATGTAGATATTGCATAAGTTTGTGTTCGTGATCCTGATTCATGAGTCCGTGATGATGGCGAAATCCAACATTTCCAACTCTTTCAGGAATTGACGGTGAACTTTGTTCTAGATTTTAACGAAACCTTTGTTTTTGTACCTTTATTCGATATTCAAAATCGTATTCCATTTGTTGTGTGTGATCTTGACAAAATGTTCTTTTCCCAAGACATTTTTACCCAAAAAGGTCCAGTCTTTCATTTTTATATGGAATATGATTTCAGTCTGAATATCTCTTGATCCTTCGTCACTTTACAATTTTCTATCACCTTTGCTTGTTCTTGACTACACTTGTCATACGTGTAATTTTGATCATTGAATTCACACTTATGTTAAGTTGTGATTATGAACAAAATTGAGCCTACCTTCGAAGCCTAAATAAAAGAAGCCCTTCGATACTTCTTTACGAGTATTCGATTGTATTTCACGCGATACCACACAAGCAATTCGATATTTCTCTTTATATTGAATGAAGTGATCTTTTCCTGGGATCCATCTGCTTTTACATCGAATGTTTATTTGATGTCACTATACGCACATTTTTTTACGTTGGTTCCCACTCTTTCTTTGGCACACATTTGCACAAGAAATCCTCGAGGTCTTGGTTACTACCAACTCAAACCTAGATTTCGCAAGTCTGGCTATGATTTCGTTTCTCATCCCAATGGTGAATGAGCCTTGCCTCGAAATGAAGTTCTACTGATGGTTCTTATCCCCTTGGGGCAAACAAAAAGTTTGATTGATGTGACGGTTTGGTTACTTCACGGTTTTCCAGGAAAAAGTGCTCATAACTTTTCAGACGTGACGACTTTTATGGCAACCGGCCCACTTTCCTAGGCTACACGTGGCAGAATTTCATTAATGGCTGGTCCAAATTCAGATTGTGTACGAAGTATAAAAAGAATTTGGGGGTCTCAAATCAACACTTTACGCATCCTGATTGAACATTTTCCCCAAAATCTTCTTTCCTTATACTTTTCTCTTTACACAATTCTCCAAAACCTTAACAATGGCGGCAACAACTGCTCATGTTGATCCATCCCAAACTACTGATGAAGCCACATCTCAACCCCTGTTGAAGATTCAGAGTTCCAATTATCGAATTCAACCAGACGTTTCCAAGTACCCAAAATAGTTACAAATGTTGATCGTTGCTCTTAATCACTTTGTGCTCTCAACGGTTACGACTTCTTCCTTTTCAGTGCCCATGACTTGGTTATCTTTGGCCGGTTCTAGTGTTGTTTTCAATAAAACTTCCAAATTCGTGACGTTTCAGCTTATGAATGAAAATAAGTATAAGCTCACGAAGAAACACTTTGCACAGATCATGAAACTTCTAACCAATGGTCCGTTTGATGAAGTGATGAATGACCAGGTGATACATATGTTCAATAAGATCGGTCATCAACCCCCACTCACTGGAATCGGTCAGTTCAAGAAGTCTTCTTTACCCTGTATCTGGAATTTTCTGTTTGGAATTTTTCTCTGTTGTCTCACAGATCGAAGTGTTGGTCTTGACAAAGCCAAATTGGAGCTATATGACTTGATCGATGGATTATACTATGATTTAAACATGTATTATGTTACACAATTATGGGAGGAGTTCGGAACTGGTATGTCACACACCAATGTTGTGAATGGTGTTTCTTGTGCTCGATATTGGAGTTTGATATTACAAGAGGTGTATGAGAAAAAAGGCATTCTCATACCATCTGATGTTCCAAAAGCAGATTTCACAATCTATCAACATCCTAAAACAGTTGAAGATGATCCTCATTTGTTTCCATATGTTGCATGCATTCATGATGCAATGCTTCAAAAGGTGGATCCAAGTAATCCAGTTCTTGTTACTTATCTATCGACAATCAACCCTAATGAACAGGTTGGGATTTTATTGGAAAAAGGCATTGAAGGTATTATGAAACATGGTAAAGGTTCAAAGAAATCCACGAAGGTTGCACAACCTAAGTCTGATCATGTGACAATGGAAAAGGAGGTTACAAAGCCTGTTCAAGATCTTGTTGTTCACGAAACTCAAAAGGGAGTGGTTCCTTCAAAAACAAGAGTTCTTAAAAGAACCAAGAAGCCAGCATACATGCCTCATCATTCACCAGAAAGGCCCATTGTTGAAGAAATTCTTGAGAAGCTTGTTTCTACACCAAAGGAGAGTGTTGTTTCGAAGTTCAAGAAAATTCTCTAACCCCAGCTCAATCGAAAGCGTGTGTTAATTCGGGAGGTTCCACCTCCTGTTTCACCAGCCTTGAAGAAATGCAAAGCCCAGGAAATGGTGAAAAATATCAAGAAGAAGGTGAAGCAATTGGAAGATCCTTTGGATGAGGTTTTTCAGGACACTGATTTCGAAGATGGTAGTGATTAATCTCCTATTCGCACTGAAGATATTGGCTTCGCGTCACCTCAGAGGGACTCTCCAGTCAAGTCGACTTTCGAGGCGACTGGAAGTCTATGTGTCTCTGTGAAAGTATCTAATACAGACACAACCACTACTTTGGGTGATCGTTTAACTTTTTCCATCCCTAAGCAGACCGAATCCATACCACCCAAAGTTTCGATTACTAAATCCGTTTCGGAGGAGGTTCGAACTTCAGGCATCCCTGTGAACATATCTAATATGGACACAAATGTAAACATGGGTGATGGGATGTCGAATTTCGAAGCCTAAGGTAACACTTATGTTGTAACTTCATCAATTCCAATTTCACTTGTTTTATCATCCACAATCGAAACTACACTCATCGACACATCTACTTCCTTACCACCATTTCATACACCCACTCCCACTTCGTTACCTGCTTCAACTATCTCACCTACTTATAAAAATATCATGAATCAACCCATTACTTCTCTTTTCTCTTCTCATCAACTGAGGGTGAAAAGTCAGTTCCTGAAACAGATCATGATGACGATGATGTGATGGTCTCTTTTGCTGATATCCAGTTCGACCCAGAGAAGGACAACATTCCTGATCATATGCTTATGCCAGGGAAGCAGTTCAAAATTTTAAACCACAAGTTGAATTCGTTATTACAGATTCAGGCTGATGCTGGTGGTCGAAATACTATTTCTGGGATAGAGGTTGATATGATGCTTAAATCACAAGAGCATCAGTTGAAGATGGCCATTGCGAATATCAAAAGACAACAGGAAGATTGCTTGAAACTCCATGCCAACAATTTTGAGTTTGAAGTCAAGAAGATTCATGATGTAGCAAAAGAAAGACATATTCTTTTTGTTGAAGAAGTGAAAAAGGTTCAGGAGTTTGTCAATCTTAAAGTGGCAGAGCTAAAATTTGAAATGACGAAGCAGGTTACCAAACTTGATCAGAATTATTAAACTCTTCACACCAAGGTTGATGTAATTGCTGATGTTGTTACGAAGGTTATGGAGTATTTCAATTCCCTTGTTACTAAGGATGATTCGAAAAAAAGAGTCTGGTTCGAAGGTGTTTTCCAAGTTGGAAGAATTTTTGGTGAGTTTGAAGGAGTCGATTTCGAAGGTTGATACTTCTCCTAAATTCTCTGTTTCTCAAGAATCTTTATCACAGATGTTTTCTTCCTTAGAAAATAATCTGAAAGCCGAACTTGCTCCTCTCCTAAAACTATTTAACTTAATGCCAACGGATGCCCCACCTGTCAAACCAGTGGTGCAAGGGGGAGATAAGAGGGTTGGCTCTTCAAAGGATTCTGATCAAGGAAAGGTTGTTGGGAAGGTGATGAGGACGCAAATTCCAACATCACTTCCTACTTCTATGTCAACAACCTCAACCACAATGACTTCGAAACCATTAACCAAAGGCATAGTTATTGGTTCTATTGCTGAGGGTTCGAGCTCGAAGCCACCACCTTCGAAACAAGATAAAGGTGCTAGAGGAAAAGGTATTGTGAAGGAGATGTCAGTGGAGGAGAAAAAGAAGAATGTTGAGAAGGAAATTGAAAGACAAAGAATCAACAACATCATGAGACAAAGGCAAAGTGATCCATCGGGTCTTGATAAAGGAGAATCAACCAAGCAATATTGTTACGAGACGATTGAACAGATTGTTTCTTCAGGAGATATATATGAATTTGAAAAGGTTCCAAAGAAGAGCTTTGAGATCGAAAATACAGATTTCAATCAAATGGATTTTCCCATCAATCAAATGATGTTTATCTCAGCTCAATATCAGTTGGTGGATAAGTTTGATGACAAGGAAGAATACAATAAGCTAAAGATGAGATTTCATGCAGTCCTTAGAAAGAAGGAAGAGGAATTATGGTCCTTAGTCAAAATTGTTAAAGTTATGGGTGTACCCAAGGATGTGTTGTTGGAAGGGTTGTTATAGAACTTTCGTTATCATATGCTTTGGGTTAACAACGTTGCCTGTGACTTGTAAGGCCCGCAGATTCGGGCTAGTCAATTTGGAGACAATAAGCGTCAAAAATGACTTTTTTTTATAGAAGATTATTTAGAGTAAATAATCTTAACCAAGTTATAGTATATTTCACAAGGGTTACGTACATATATAGAATGCTAAAAATCCGATTTATAATGAAGAAGTTATGACCCGTCCAAGTTTTACAGCAAAACTGACACGACACCGGGAATCGTAAAAAGTGAATTTGCGATAAAATACTTTTTAGCCTTAGTGATCTAAATGAAAGTCGTAGTATACGTTAAACCAAGAGTGTTCATAAAAAGAATGCCCAAATTTGACTTCGTATGAAGAAATTATGATTTTTCTAAGATTTGGCATAACAGTATGCAACCGGGAATTTGAATTTTAGATCAACCGATTTTTAGCCGATGCAACCTAAATGAGAATTGAAGATCTCATCAATAGAAGTTCAACGATAAAAAGACAATCGAAAATGGAGTTCGTATGTAGAAGTTATGAATTTTACACAGTCGTTAAACAATGTAATCTTCTCATACTATTAAATTTTAAATAGGTCAAGAATTAGCCGATAAAGTCAAAAGGAGAGTTGTAGATCTTTTCAATACCTACGTGTAGATATAAAGAATGTCAAAAACGGAGCTCGTATGCAAAAGTTACGGAGTTTAGAAGTCGGAAGGGTGTTGTTGCGAAGGGGGTGAAGTGGCACGATCTGAGCCCTTGCTTTCTCCCCACGCCTTGCCACCAGATGGTGACATGTGGCACACCAACTCGAAGAGTTGGAGGCTCAGAACTCACTGATTTGAGCCATTTTTCAGCTTATAAATACCATGCGAGGCTCACTCATTTTCCTCACACCTTAACCCTTATCTCTCTCTCTAACTTCTCTCTAAACCTCTCCCATGCCCTAGTACTTCCCAAGTGCTATGCGGCAAGTCCCGGAGCGCCAGAAAGCTCCGAGAAAATGAGATTTTCGGCTCGGAAGTTTTGCCCCCGCAGAGCCCAGTTCCTAGCCAAACCTCCCAGTAAGTGAGTTATGCTTACCCTACTTTAAGAATAGCTTAGGTTTAAATTTATTATCTTTATTATGAACTTATAAACAATATATATATATATATATATATATATATATATATATATATATATATTATAAAATATAGTATATAAATGGTTATTATAATATCTTTTAACTACTCGCGGTACGGGGAATCTTTTTGAAGGGCCGCATAGGGTTGTTGGATTTCAGAAGTGCTATAATGCCAAAATGGTCCTGCCCTCCAGTGTTTCATGTCTGGACCATGTCTGTACGTAGTGGTTGAAAAGTATTGTTTAACACTTATAAAATAATAACGCTCATAAATAGTCGTGATAAATATTAGACTAAAATCTAGCGGTAATGATACTAGGTTTCGTCGAAGGAAAATAGAATCGTTAGAAGCGAAGCGCTGCCCAAATTTGGAATCATCACTTTATCAAGTGAGTGCATAGTTACTTTCATCTTACACATATATATGAAGTATTTAATATAAACTACGTGTTATGTGTGCATATTATCTGTGTTCTTGATGTCTATGTTGGATTAACTATTTATACATGTTTTACTTGATTTAAACTGTATATGTATTTTTATACCTATAAATATATTAGGTAAAGATGAGTAGATGAAAGATGATGTAAAGGTGAAAGATGAAAGATGATATAGACGATGATAGGTGTAAGATGATGAAAAGCCTTGACCTTGACGATGATGTCATCTAGCAGAGTATAGATGACGACCACAGACTATTTCAGACAGTCTAGTGGAACTCTAGCGGGCACGCAACCTGCAGGTGTTTTTGAACTACGTGTTCACCAGATGTACTCTAAATATCCTGGCAGATGTGCCGAATGGATAATATTGGCAGTTGTGCCTAACTTTTGAACTACGTGTTCACCGGATGTATTATAAAAATGCTAGCAGCTATGGACTTTAGTGCCTCATGAAAGAACATTGGCAGATGTGCCTAACATCTGTAGCTATGTACTTAGTACCTGTTATATAAACTCTGGCAGCGATGGACTTCATGCCTATTCCTTAGGAGAATCCTTAGGAATAAATGAATGAAGGATAGCTGATTCTTAGGGTAGATCCTTAAGAATAAAGAAGATAATGGGGATGTGTAATTGAAGATAATGGGGATGTGTAATTGAGTTGATTGTTTGATGATTAAACATAATAATTATATTATTATGGGTTGAAAACCCTATGTACTCACCAGGTTTCCCAACCTGACCCACTCAGTTTACTTGTATCACAGGTATTGATACGAAGCCATATTATACTGAGAGATTAAAGGAGATGTATATCACTAGTGTAAATGAATGTAAGGTCAGTTTATGCTTATGTTTCTGTATTGACGATGACATCCCAAAGTTTTAATATAAACAAAACACATTTCTTCGGAATTGCTTTGATAATGTATTTATCATGTTTTATGGGAACAAATTCCGTAATATTATTCTTTAAAAATGAATACTCAGATTTTCAAATAAGCATAAATAAAATTTTTAAAATGACCGTGAATTTGGGGATGTCACATGACTTCTCAGTGGCAGATTTTCCTCTGATGAATCTCAATGATCTCATCTATGTTTCGAAGATCGTGAGTGGTGTTTATGTGTCGAAACTTCAAGTGATTAGCAAAGAAGATTTCTTGATAGGTTTTGCTCATATCAAGGTGTTCATAGACAATTACTATGATTGTCTAGCTTTAACTGATGTGGAGCTTGCTTTGGCAATGGGTAAACAAGTGACAGTGCCTCAATCGTTATTGAAAGCTCCAGGAAGTCTCAAGAATTTCGAAGATGAGGAGATTTGTGTTAAACCTCTGGGAGTTGTGTTTGTTAGAAAGAACAAGAATCAAAATATGACAAATTTTTTGTTCAAAGTTGAAGATGTGGAGAGGTATACAAATTCGCAGTACACGAGTCTTCTTGTTCGTCTTAATAACTGCAAAAGGAATCAGCTAGTAATAAGGCTGAGGTTTGAAAGACGATCATATGGTACACGGAGATTCGCATAGTACTACATTAAGCAACGAAGATGCTAATGACATAGGATTCAACACTTCTCACAAAGGGGGAGAATGTAGAGTTCCAAATGTGATGTGAGATGTCGAAGCATCTTTTGTCATGTTTAGTATCAAAGTCTGTTTTCATGTATTCGTTGTATGTATTTCATGAGGGATTTTTAGAGTTCGAAGCTTAAGCGTATTAGCCATTATGTATTCTTTGTGCTTCTATTAACTCTTATATATAGAGGTAAGTATATGTGTTAGAGTAATTTTTGTGAACTGTAAGAATACTTTACACTTTCTTATCGTATACTCTTTCAGAAGCAATAAAGAGCCAAACATATTATATTTACGTTTTTGTGTTCTTGATTCATTTCATACTCTGATTTCATTCTTACGCTCAATTCATACGAACTACAAAGGGTATGTCCGTAATTTTGATGAATGGGATGGGAAAGTAAGACAAGGAGAAGGCAGTGAGCATCTCCGCATCAAATCCTTGATAAAATCTCTACTTTTTTGTATCGGGGTTTGTTGATGGCTTCAATCATGATGTGTGTTCTTGCTGTACTAAATGCTTGCACACTCATCACAAGATTCACAAGGGTTGCTGGAAGAGCTTTTCGGCATGCTGCTTTCTGTGCTTTTTATTGAAGAAGTTATCCGTGTATTCACACTCATTCTACTTTGGTGCTACTTTTTTTAATAATTATGCGGAGGGAATTTTCGTCTTTTGTACAGTATGAGTATTTGGCCCACCTTGTGACAAAAAATACAATTTTAATGCATTAAAAATGCATTACATTTTTTTCGTTTAACACATTTTACATAGAAACTTTAGGTAGTAATCAATGAGTTTATTATTCCAAAAGAAGAAACCCTAAATTAGAAGAGTACCAGTTTCAATAGCTTTACACAAATGTTCTGCTAGCTATCATTTTCTTATTTAGTATCCTCATTACTTTCATGAAAAGTAGAGGTGCTAGGTCTTGGCGACATGGTGTAGGTAAATGATAATAATTAATAAGTATCTAAAATATTTTTTTGTGGTTTTTTATTTTTATTTTATGGAATCTGATTATAAAATTGTTACAAGGTGGATTCGAAGTTTTGTAGCTGATTATGGGGTCCCAATCATGAAGTTCTAAGGAGGCTCTTTTGTCCTCTTCCTTGGGAGGCTGCATCATTATCCCTTTCGAATGTTATCAAGGTATAAAAAATCATTGAAATATAGAAAGGTTTCCATTTTTTGAATGAGATGCTAATAACAAAATGGCTAAATGCAAGAAATAGCAATCTTATTTAGTTTATATGTGTATTAAACCATCCTACCTTCATTTCTTACTATCGTTACATTATATTTTCTATTCCTACATTGTACTTTTGAATTTTTCTTATCAAGGCATTATACTTAAAATTTTTTTTACCCAATTATAGCATTGTACTTCCAATTTTTTTGAAGTACAATGTTGTCATAGGAAGAAATGAAAGTAGGATGTTGTAATAAGCAAATCAATGAAAGTACATTGCTATTTCTTTTATTTTATCCTAAAAATGGATTGTTTTATAACAAGATATGGTGAAGGTTCCGGCTGTTTATGTTTTTAGTGCCATAGTACCTCGTATGATGATAGCAGCATTGTACTTGTCGAACATAGTGTAGTTGCAAAAATGACGCAACAAAAGAAATTTAATCTTCAAAACCCATTTGCTTATCAGTATGATGTCTTCTTGCTTGGAATCATGGTATACATGTTGCTTAATAATACACTTTTTTTGAAAGTAGGATACTATAATAAACAAAATAGTAAAAGTATGTTGCTATGTCTCAAATTTTTCCCATTGCAACACATCTCCACACCCTATTCTACTGTGATGCCCTTCAATTAGCAACAAAGTAAGATCTTGTATTATATACCCTTTTAAAATCTATGCAAATTGAATTTCTCTTAACAAGACACCCAATAAGGATTTTGTTAGATTGGATCAACATATATTGTCACCACTTGTTGGAAAGAAGCAGTTATACACTTATGAGACAATGGATTTTTGGGAACAGATTAAGTACACTATCTTTTTTGGCTTGATGGAATCAAGTAAGTAATGTAATTGTTTGTTCCGTTTCCAGATGGAATGGAATGGACCATTCCATTCTTCCCATATTCATTACAAAAGTCAAAAGCAAAGTACATTGCAATTATGTGACTTTTTAATGTTTATCACATTGTCAAATTTATAAAGAGGCATGATTATCTCCTTTATCTTAAATCGTTCGATCGAAACAAATCCTAAATAGACCCATCCAAAGGTGCGCCAACGGCGTGACGGTCCTTCCTCTTGTTAGTATAATTGATTAAATGTGTTAAATAACTGAAATGAATTTAATCAATTATACAAATTGATTTATTAGCTTTAAGAAATAAACCATTATATTTATTTAACAAATAAGCCTTTCATTTATTTTGTTTTAGTTAATTAAAAGAAATATATCTTTGTTTGTTTGTTGTTATTGGAAAGAATATAGTTATCACTTATATATGTATTATTTATTTTCTTTTTTTTTAATTTTGGACAAAATTTTACAATTGATCATTTTGCTTTTTAATTTTTCTCTAATATAGTCCTTATGGAACTTTTTTTTGCATGGTCCCTTTTGAGCAAACCTTAAATGCAAATGGTCCTCATGAATAATTTTATTAAAAGATTCTATTAAGTGGTTGTGAAATGATGCAAATACCCTTTGTTTTTTGCACATGAATAGTCCTTATGACTCTCTCTCTCTTCATGATTCACCTTCACTATCTCTCTTATTTTTCTTAAATATGTTCTTCTTCCTAAGCACATACACACATACACAATTTTTATTAAAGTTTAAACACAGACTTCACAGATATATACATACACTAAAACTAGAACACACATACACACACTAACATCTAAGTTTGAAACCTGCATCGAATTGGGGCGGATTCACCATCACAACCCCCAACAGATCTTCATCATCGTAATCCTACATCACCATGCATCTATATCCATTCCCACCATTGATTTTCTTATTGTAAGGGATACATACGAAAAGACATAAATAAGAGTTCTCCCTTGTTCATCGGCTCTTTTACCTCAACACTGTGAATCTGAAATGTTTATGGGACTATAAAAATCAAAAATCGAATATGAATCATTTGTTCTAAAAAAATTTTGAAAAAAAAACCCCTAGAAATCAATTTTGTGTATATGTGTTCATCCCCATAAATGAAATACAAAATCGAAGAGAAAGAGAGAGAGGGAGAGAGAAAGAGAGAGAGAGAGAGAGAGAGAGAGAGAGAGAGAGAGAGAGAGAGAGAGAGAGAGGAATCACACGCATAACATATGAATAGCAACTGATTCTCAATGAAATGTGTTTTTGTGATCCCCTCTGTTGATGTTGAAAAAAGATCCAACCGGAGAAGAAGACCAGATCCTCCCTCTTCCACCAAGCTTCATTCTGTATTTCACTATTCCACTCACTCCCACCATTCCATCTACCACCAAACCAACGATTCTTAAAACCCTAAACCCAATTTCCAAAATTACTTATTTAAGAGTACCAATTTATGCCCGATAACGGATATGATTGTCGGAAAACGTCGTCTTCAAGAGACCCTAACATTGCTTGATGTTGCGTTTCTAGTCAGTTGGAAGCTCCCATGGATCAAACTTGTAAAGGTTGATTTCGACGATGATGGTCACCTGCAGAGGTGTAGAGGCAACTCTTTTCTTGAGGTAGTGAATTTGTACTCTCCATGATCCACAAAATTACTTTGATTTTTCTAAATTTAGATTTGATCAGAAAAGAGCATCACCATGGAGCTTTTCTGCTTGAGTACCCAGTTGGGGGGTTTGATGTACTTACAATTTCTAGGCAGAAAAGGTCGTTGAAGGCAACAATAGTGGTTCAATTTACTTGATCTGTAGTCGATGAAGAGAGAAATGTAGGTGAGACTAAAATAAGTTACAATTGTTGGGGGTAAAAAGGGTCCGATCATGTGTCTCTTAGAATGTGTTTTTAGAGAGATTAAGAAGAAAAACTGATAAAGTCGAGAGAGAGAGACATAAAGACTTTGTGTCAAAACAACAAAGGTATTTTCATCATTTCACAAACACTTAATAAAATATGTTAACAAAGTTAGTCATAAAAAGCATTTGCCTGCAATGTTTGCTCCAAAACGACCATCCATACCAAACAAAAAATCATAAGAACTATATTAGTGAAAAATATTAAAGCAAAAGTACCATTTATAAAATTCTCTTAATTTTTTTTGTTTGTGACTTTATAGAAGAAAAAATATCAATAGTAGTTCGAAACATTTGGCATGATTTATTAAGTTTCGCAACTAATTGTATGTGACTACCCTATAATTTAATGAACAACGAAAAACTCGTTCGACGAACTCGGGGAAAAAAGGGTTCTTTGAAATCTCAAATAGTTGTGAATAGTAAAAATAAAATATTTTTCTATAAATTATAAAAAAAAATGAAAATCCGTAGCGACTCCACAAACTGATGAAACAAAGGTGAAAAAGTATTCCATTTTTTTTAGTGGAGCCATTTGGTAATGAAATATTTTCTACCGTAAATAATGCAAAACATAAAAAATAATAATAATAATAATAAATAAATAAATTTAATAAAAAAGGACGAAAACAACATCATGTATTGACAAATATGTATTATTCAATGTCTAGACAATTATTTAGAGGACCACTACGAAATGTATAAAAATATTTAGGAACTAATGAAATTAAAGAATATTTTATAGCTCGTCATTTATTTTACTATCCCCATATTTGAGAAGTGTTCATTACATACTAAATCAATTCTTTATGTTTTTTTTTTAAATGATAGGAATTATTTATTAAAATATGAGATTTGCAATATTTTCCCCACATCCCATATATAAGGTGAATAGAATTGCATCAATCTATTCGAGCAAAATCATTTTCAATGGAAGAATGGAGATATATATATATATATATATATATATATATATATATATATATATATATATATATATATATATATATATATATATATATATCTTACTATCTTATTATATAAATCTTACTATTTCTAAAAATAGATTTAAGATGTTCAAATTACGATGCTTCGAGTACTATCATTTATGCATAATAAGTTTTATATCCCCTAATTTTTTGCTAAAAATAGTGGTTTTCGAATTTTGAAATTCATAATCGGCTCCGCTTCTATCTATATGTCACAACCCCTATGAGCCATTCTTTGGAATCCTAAGATCTGGGGTGACCGATTCTTTTGATTCCTAAGATTTGGGCATATTCTGTTGAACTTTTCGTATCGATATGTTTTCCGATATCCTGATGCCTCTCAACCATAATTGTGCCATGCTTCTCTCTCTCTCTCTCTCTCTCTCTCTCTCTCTCTCTCTCTCTCTCTCACTCTCTCTCTCTCTCTCTCTCTCTCCAAGCAACATAGATTAACCCTTTGATTTCATCAGGTAAAATTTCATTCCTTTGATTTCGACTCTATAAACTCTTTGATTTCCCCAGCAACGAAACCCCACCCCACCATGGTTTTGGAATGTTAATAAGCTCTCGATTTTTAATGGTTTTAGTGCTTTAAACTTTTGGGTTCGAATTTATGGAAACATTTGTGTTTGATGTTGTGATTTGTAGGTTTTTTGTCGATTCTCAGAAAGTGGTGCATCTCCTTCCGCTGACCTTTCGTTTACCTGCTTTTGCTTTGACCCTCGCTGTCATCTCCTTCACCGGTCACCAAGATTCCGACATCGTTGTGTTGCTATGTGAACTGTTCCACGAAGAAGTTGGACTGAAACTAGAAGAAAAAGCCGAAGTCCACCTTCGCCTCATCGTTGGTCTCCTGTGCCGCCTGAAGTCGCCACTCCACAGGTATGTGTTTTGCTTTCCGAAAATTGATTATTTTCCGAACTCAGGTTCTTCCTACTCTTTTCTGAAGTTGACTTTTTTACAGGACATTTCTTTGTTCATTTGTAAACTGCATCTGTTATGAATGCACATTTGATTCATCTATAAATCGGAAGAGCACTGCAACCAAGAATCGATGTCCACCGTCAGTCATCATTAGATGCATTTGCAACTGGTGAGTTGAAGTGTTTCATTTGATTTGGTTTTCATTTTCCGGTTGTTAGTTGTTTGTTTTAATTTTCCAATTTTGTTTTTCATCGGCACTAGAACCGAGCCAGAGGGGCAATTGCTTTTCCGTTTGCTTAATACCCAATTGCTTTCGATTTCTTCCCCGATTAAAATTTTCTTTTATGGCCTCTCGATTCCATGATGCCACCGTAAGAAGATTCCACCTGCTGCTATCCGACGGTGAAAGGTATTTCGACGACGGCACTGGGTAGGGATAGAGATTGATGATTTTTTTTAAACAAAAGAAGGAAAATGGAGACATATTGGTGGTGGCAGTGATGTCAATGTAGTTTTTTTCATTATTAATGCTTGATTCGTCCTTATCTATGGGTTTTCAATTGATTTTATTGCTAATACACTTCATGGTCGCTTTTGCAGCATATTACCAGGTAATTTGTAATTTGAGAGCTTATTTTGATCATATGTGGTTGTGTTCGTATTTCAATTCAAAACGGCGCTTCATGATAAACCTTCCAATTTTCAAGAAAGAAAAAAAATATAAAACCCTTTTAAATAGGGTTCTGTTTGACTGCATTTCTCAAGATTTATCCTTTCCTTTTAATTTCTTTTAATACCCTTTTCATGTTTGTGAATGAAGGGTCAAGAAATAGGTCATATAGCTTCACTTTGTGTCCATGTTGCTGAGACAATCTTCAATCTTCATAAGGTATGTTGTTGAAAAATAGCTGAATCCTAACTATACAAAGCCAATTTATGCTTTTTTTTATAGAGTTAAGGAATGGTGTTTTCTGGAGATTCATAAAGCAAGACCTAAGAAGTGAGGTTAGTATGCTTACCTGATATAAAAAGCACAATAACAATATGCATTAGATGTCAAATTTTCGTTAATATAGTCAGTTTTAGATGGCTAAGCTGCCAAGAAGTTAAATTTATTTTATTGTAATGTTTAAGAGAGAATTTTGTTAGAGTATTGCTAATTGTCAATTTCTATTTTGTATTAAAAAGTGCTTCGTTCTTACTTTGATTAGCGGATGGTTGTCTATGTATTTTCTTTCTAACAACTTCTGGGCATGTGTGGCTAATTGGCTAAATAATTAGCTTTCAAGATCATTTTGGTGTTCCTAATTATCCTCATCTTAATGCCTAACTTTCTGTTCCATTGGTTTAATATTCACTGTGTTTTGACCCTTTGGTATCGTGCTTGTTACTCTTCAAGTTGGTTTAGTTACCTTGGTAGTGTTCTAAAGTTGGGATCTTATTTTGGCTAGGTATTTTGCATCTTTTTGTGCTTTCTTTGTATTTACAGCTTCCTGGTGGTGCTACTAAAATTGTACAAAGAACAAGCTATATGGGAAAGGTTAAGTCACTCTATCTCTCTCTCATTCTCACCCTCTCTCAACCACCCGTCTTCAATAAACCGTAAAATACGCTCCCAAAACTCAGCCTCCACTACCACCACTCAATGCCACTGTCAAAGTCTTCTGCAACAACCACCATGATCTACACCCTACTAATCACTATGTCCACCGCCATCACCACCCAGGAGTCGATGGTCCTGAAATCCATCACCTTCTTCACCATCCTCCTCCTTCATCCTCACTCTAATCACCCTACACACCACCGCTGCAACTGCCTCCAGGTCGAGCCCTTATCTGGTTATTTATTTATTTATTTAATTTGTTAAATCATATGCATATCAAGGTAAGATTTTCTTGAATTTTATTTTTTTTATTTTTGACTGTGAAGTTTAGGACTTTTACAGGTACTAATTTCAATTTCCTTTCTTATTATCTCACGACCAAATCCTCTTTACATAATTTTATTTGTTATTCTATTTATTCATTTTGCATTTGATGATATTTTTATGTTATTTTTTGTTGTTAGGCAGTATTGAAGAGGGGAATAGGCATGGTTGCAGATCTCAGTCCCAATTTACTGCCCTTGAATGGATTGAAGTTTGTGTTTGTGTGTGTGGTTATTTTTGTGTATGTATGGATTCAGGTTTTCATTTGTATATGTATGAAACTGTGTGTATAAATCTGAAAGGTTTATTGTTTAAATGTTGAATATATTTTTTTATGTGGGTATTCATCTTCATTAACAGAAGCCAAAAAATGAAATTCTTTAATGACCATAACTACTAGGTTTGCCATTTTGATGAAAAACGTGACTTTTGTTCAAAAATTTTAGTTGTTCATTTTGATGCTTATTTGAAGCTGATTATGCAAATTGTTTACAATCTTTTTCATGAAAATTTGAATTTCTTGATTTATTTTTATTTCAACCAATTTAATGTATGATGTATTAGTTTCTGCATTTTATTCAGGATTTCACTGAACACATAGATTGCATAGTTGGTATTACTACCACACCTCTTGAATTTTTCTTATTTGATGAACTTCACTTTAATTTTTTTGTTTGTTTCAGTGCACACTTCCTATTACAACACTTTTCTTCAAAAAATTATTCAGTTATAAAATGTTATAAATGAAAGTATAAATCAAATAAAATCCTGGTGATAGTGTGGTAGAAAAGGACAACAAGAGTGTAAAACATTTATAAAATCCATGGATCATTATGACAGCTTGTAATCTTTTGTTTTTTTGGTGGTGTTAGGGACAAAAAGAAGGTAAATGCAAGTAAGAGTGTGGTAGAAAATGACAACATCAAACAAAATCATGGTGCATGCTCTTAATTGGACTTTACTCTTTCTTCATCTTCATGAAAGAATGACTTTATTATGTAAATTTGAAGATGAATGAGATGTTTTTTTTAATGTTATAGAACAACTTATGTCATTATTTTTGGATATCACTGTGAGCAACCCAGGAAGAAATGTGTGATACGCAATTCAGGATTACCAGCATCATACCAAA